ATTTATACCAGGAACCATGTGCCAAGAAAGCTTCGTTTAGTGAATTTCTTGCAGCCAGGAAGACAAAGGTTCCAAAACTACAATTCAGTCATTGTCAGACCTGGAATTCCCTTCCTGGGACAATTACATTTTGCTCCTGCTTAGCTCCTTGTTGCTTAGCAACCATAGTAGCATCAGGGGAAGCCACTGGAGAGAAGAGCCCTTTCCAAAGTGGGGCTCGGGTAGGAATAATCAGGAGTGGAAATTACCTTCTCACTTCCTAGAGAGAGGAAGATATGATGTGTGCCTAAGAGATAAGATAGAGGTGGTAGAGTTAGGAGGCATCTGGAGAGAGTCATTTAGATGCCTGCATCGTATTTAATCATCAAAACCAGTATTCAAACAGAATTATTTAACTTTGCAATGTAACTTTATATCTGATATTTCCTGCAAGTCTCACGATGATGGATACCTTAGGGCATGATGATGGTTCTCAGTTTATAGAGGTGGAAATTGAGATGAAGGGGATAATAATATGCTTGGCTTCACCTGGCCAGTAAAAGGCAGAGTAGGGCTAGAATCCAAGTCTACCATTGTCTGTCTTTCCATGGTAGCTTTTATTGATAGGTTGATTCATCATTCATCCATTCATTCATTCATGACATAGGGCCAACATCCATCTGCTATGCATAGGTAGGCCTGATGATGTCAAAGTACTAAAATTTTAAAATAACCGCTGCTCCCAACTCATTCCTATCCCCCTTACTCTACCACCCAGTCTCTCCTGAGGATCCAAAAACCGAGAGATATCACTTGGCTGAGCAGGGCCAGGTGTCAGTGCCCATTGTGATCAGTAAGTCCCTTGTCATAATGTTAAATATCTTTGACATTTTACCAAACCTTACTGGACATACACTGGGTTCCAGGCACAATTTTATCCAGGGAAGATACAGAGGTATAATGGAAAGCCCTTGACCTCAAAGAGTTTACAGAATGTGGTTAGAGAGAAGTGAAAAATCAGAGCACAATATCTTTACTGGGCTACTTCTTATGACAGGGAGTTCATTGTTATTTAAGATGATCTGTTCTCATCTCAGGCCTAATCACAGCATTTTCTGTCATATTGAGCTGAAATCTACCTCCCTATAACTTCAGTTAATTGGGCCTGATTATACCGTCCAAAGCAGAGTCAAGTAAACTAATCCCTATTTTTCCTGATGCCTTTCTTGCATCTACAGACAGTTTTCACATCCCACTTCAATTGTTCACAGTATACTCTCACTGTTCTTTTGGGCCTCTCTTAAGTCCTAGAATCAAAACTGGAAAGCATTCTATAGATGACTTGCTGCTCAGAAGACTTAGAATACCCCTCCTTTTGCACAAGAGGAATCCAAGGGGCAGAGAGGTGAGGGTACGTGCCAAATAAGCTTAAAACCAAGTCTTGTTAGCAATCTGGTATGTAATCTTTCCATTGCATCATTGGAACATACTCCCAATTTCTACATTTCCAGAATTGCTCCCAAACTCCAAATATGGTCCAATGCCACTGCACAATTCACTGTGGTTATCACCTCCTTTGGTTAGCTGCACCTTTTATTAATGCTACCTAACCTAAGATTGTGGGAGCCAAGTATCCTGATTACATTGTGGGGGCGTGCCCTGTTTATTGGATTAGTGATTTTCAATCATTTGCATATTAGAAGCACCCAGAGCATTTATTATGAAGACCAATTAAGTCAAGATGGGTCCTAAATAATAGTTATTCTCTCAAGTAATTCTGACGTACAATGTGTGTTGAGAACCATTATAGGAAGTAATACTACCTCATTTTCCAAAAAGAGGAGAATCAATATTATACTTAAACCCAAGAAATGTGTATGTGTGTGTGTGTAGGGGAGTGACTGGCTCCGAGTATTTGATTATACTACTCAATCTCAACTTTTTATAAAGGAAGAATGTGTGGGTTTGACTAATTCCTTTCAACTCTTTAGCTCAGAGATGTGAAAATGACATGACCTGTATACTTGGAACCGTACTTTGCTTGCATATATGCCCTTTGTTTGGCTCTCAAGTCATGTAGGGAATGAAGGATCTTACAGATCCTTGCAATATCTGAGGTGGGGCCTGGGGCACGTTGGTGAGGAGTTCTGTGATGGTCATTTTAAATATTAGGTACATGGGTGCTAACATCCCAGAGCAATAGCCCAACTGGCAGAAAGTCAGTTCTTTGGTAGTATCAGAGGAGCAGTTATTCTTGCCCACATTTATTGACATTGTCCACTCTGGCACAGCCCAATTCTCAAAAGCTTTATCTTTGGTGTACAGAAGCAAAAGGAAATTCTTATGTTATTAGATAATAAATGTCCAACGAGTCTAAAGAGGATATGATTTTTGACCTCGCCCCCCGCCTGCCATTCCTGCATCTGTGCCCCATGCAGTTTATAAACGTCTCCTTTCTGGTAGAAGTTTGCATGCCAATCTATCCCACTTGGTTGTGAATTCTGAGTTTGTGTCTCTAGTTGCTACAAGAGTCTATTCTAGATAATTACTTGCAAAATGCTGATTTTGGAGATTGTGTAGGACTAAGCAATGTATATTATGTGCATTCCCATCAGCTGCTCAGAGGTTCCCTTTAATTTCTCAAGGGCCCTGGGGCCCTGGGAAAAGTTATCTTAAAATTGCATAGCACTAACTTTCAGTGCAACTTCTTTACCCATTTCAGACTTTCTGTGTTTCAGGGTCTAGTTCTCAGATAACCAAAGACTTGCCCACTAGGGAAAGAAGGTAACAATTCCTGTGCCTGACAGCAAGAATTTGAATACAGGTCCAGTTCTTTTTACAGGCATTTCACTCAGGGATGGGGGCTTCAGTTTTCAGGAATCCTTTATTATTATATTATTATATATTAAATGTAAATATATCCAATATATTATATGCAACATTAAATGTAGGTATATATGCATGTATGTATATCTGCATATATATATATATTTATATGTAGATATATAAAACCAGGAGTGAGAGGATTCTCCCTTTTTTTCCTCTTCCCTTCTCTCTCATGATTGAAAGATGGGCTACAGGTGAGAAACAACATTGGCTGAAAAGTAAAGGGACAAAGAGACTTTTGAATGGCTTTGCCTTAACTCTGTGACTCTGGCAGTGCATTGCATCTCTACCCCTCTTTCCTCAGCTTTAGGATGATGGGTTTAGGTAGGTGATATCTCAGATAAACTTTTGCTGCACTATAATTATGTAGACTTACTATTGAGTATAGTAAAAAATTTTAACAAGACAAATGCTTCTCTCAGTTGCTCTTCAAAGAAACAAAACACAGGAAGACCCTGTAAATATGCCTAGGTTACAGAAGAGAAAGGACTTGAGCAACAGACGGTCATATGCTCATGGGCCAACCTTTCTGAGTTTTGGGTCTCATTTTCAATTTGGAAAGTGTAGGAAATGGCCTGCATGCTTAGGCCTCTGTGGACTTTCGTATAGAAATCTAGGTGCACAAGGAAATGGGCAAAGGTCATCTGATAACAGAGAGCGACTGTTTTGACATTGTGTTTTGTGCCTTGATCTCTACCTCTATTATCAGCTCATATGTCCTGATAATATTTCTATGTAAGCATCACTTTGCCACTAATAACAATATTCCAGTACAATGGGTAGCAGAAGACCTATTGCAATGCGGATTTAACAGAGGTCTTTGGCAGTGATGAGTAACAGGAAAAATGTCCGTGGCCAATCAGGGAAAGCAGACAGGGAGGTCCTTTGGGTCAGAGGGGAGGGGATCTTCTGTTGAGAATCCGACTAAAGGTCATGCAGGACATGGACCAGAGTGGGGTTGAGGGTCCTCCAACCCCGTCTCTCTTATCCCACTTCACTGCAGCATGTCTATGAAAAGTGTGAGGAGAGTGAAGAAGCTCCGTGACAGAACTCAAAGGAGCAGCCAGCGCAGGCAGACATGGCCCAAGTGTCCGTTGGGGGCGGGGAGCGTCCCCCATCACTGTCAAATCATTCCTCAATCCAGGTGTCCAAGGGCTCTCAGGGTGGCAGGCAGGAGTCCTCTCAGAATCCGAGTTCTGAGAAAACTCCGCCTAAGGTCTTCAGGCAAAACCTTCCTGAATCTGAATCTGTCCTGTATTGTCCTGTAGTGCGGACATGTCCCCGAGAGATTCCATTACTCAGTTGCCTGAGATTGCAACCGAGTGGCCTGAGAAGGATCCCCTTTTGCAGCCCAATTGCAGACACTCAGAGAGATTAAAACGTCACCATATTTTGTATGAACTGAGATGTTCCACCTTCTTCTTTCCACCACCCTGCAGGCAACGGTCATTTGTCATCTCTCTGTCTTTCCCCTTATCAAGTATCCAATTTTTGTGAATAACGAGAAAATGCACATAAGCATCTGAATGCATACGTGTCGCTTAACAAAATATAAACCCCTGAAAGGGAAATGTAATTACCAGGTTAAAAAAATGGACCCAGTTTCCAGAGCCTATCACATCTCTGGCCTGGGTGCACAGCTCCCCCCCAACACTGCTCCTGTTGTGTCAGATAGTGGCAGTGTTGAGCCCGGGAACCGGCGCCGAGCCCGCGGCTGTCCCCGCGGCCGCCCAGTCTCCGCGGCTGACTCTGGAGCGCAGGAGCCACTGGGCCGCGAGGGCGCTGGGGAGCGGGAGGGGCTCGAGGGGCTGCGAGGGGTCCCCGAGCGGCCTCCACGAACTGTTTTCCTCCTCCCGCGGCAAGAGCCCCACTCCCTCCAATCGATCGAAATTAACCGAAATTCACTGAAAGAGGGAGGGTGAGGGAGAGGTCGCTCGTTACTGGCTACGCCTCGCGGGGCTCCAGCCGGGAAAGCGGCCCACGGTCCGTTGGGCGAGCAGTGTGGGCTCCCGCGCCCCCTCCGAGGCAGATCGCGGGGTGGCAATCCCCGCTGGGCTCCGCCGCGCGGCCGCTCCGTTCCTCCCCCCTCCCCCGCCCGCGCCCTCCCCCTTCCTTTCACTAGGACTCCGGGACTCGGGAGAGGGCGCGGGAGGCAGGCACACGGGGCCCGACCCCACTCCAGCGCTCGCCGGGGACGCGGGCAGGCGGCGAAGGGACGCGTCGGGGGCGCGGGGCGGGCGCGGCCATGGAGCGGCGGCGGAGGCAGCACTAGCGACAGCGGGCGGACCAGCGAGCGGGCGGCAGGGCAGCTCTGCACGGCGGACCGAACTGCACAGCTCAGCAAAAGCGCCCTCGCCCTCCGCGCGCCGCCTCCTGCGAGCCCAAACGCGGCAACATTTTTTAAAGCTCCAATCCAGCCTTTGAAGAAAAGGGAAAAAAAATAATAGCATTGATCGGAGAGACGGGAATATACATACATATAATTTTTTTTTTTTTTGGTTTCTGCTAAAATTAGCCAGCTCGCCGCGCGCCCGTGTGCAAGTGTGTGTGAGTGTGTGCGTGCGGGCGTGTGTGTGTGTGAATGTGATTACTCCAGGACTCCTCGGGCTCCGGAGACGCCATTTTCCCCCTTGATATCTCTCTCCATAAATCGGTGGCGCGGCGGAGGCGGCCGCGCCGGGCGGGAAGCGCGGGGCCGGCCGGGGCGCCCGCCGCCGCCTCCGCGCGCCCGGGGGCCCCCGCGCCCCCTGAGCGAGGGCGGCACGCCCGCGGCTCGCCGTTTGACAGATGCTCATCGCCATGGAGTTACCGCAGCAGCACCTTTGGGGGCTCGGGCGAGCGACCGGAGCTGGGATCTGAGCGAGCGCCGGAGCCAGCGGAGCCGGAGCCGCCGGGACATGGGTGAGCACGCGCGGCGACCTTGGCCCGGGAGCCCGGCGCCCAGCCTCCCACCGCGCCACGGGTCCCAGCACGCCAGGGGCCCGGGCGGTGTATGTGTGTCCTGCATGCAAAAGTTAACGTCTCCTCGCCGGGGCTTTGACTTTGCACGGGGCGGGAAGGGAGAGACGGGGCCGAGGGGGCGGGATGCCGGTCCCGGCGAGACTGCCGAGGATGGGCGCGATTCCGGCCCGCTCGCGGGTGGGCAGCGATGCTGGCTCGTTTGGAGTGGCCCGTTGGTGGTGGCGATGGTGGAAGCTTCAGGCTGCAGGGCTGGGAGCTTATTGAGTTTCGCCTAATCTGATTCTCCCCAACCCCCCGCCTTTTGCACCCTCCCTCGGTCCTGCCGCCGGCTGCCAGGGCTGGCGGGTTTGGTGTTGGAGTGGACTCGGAGGGGGAGGGGGTAGGGAAAGGGGTGGGAAGGCGGCAGTATTTTTTTTTTTTCCTCTCTCTCTTTGTAACTTGCAGGTTAAGTGGAGCTAGAGAGCTACATTGTAACCTAGTTGGATTTTTCTGGGGGGGGAAATGTATCAGAATCTAACGTGTCGTTAATAGAAAGAAGAACAGGGACGAAGTGGTCCAGCCGGCGAAGGTTGGTGTGTGCTTGTGTTGTGGCTCTGTGTTAGTCTTTCTCTTAAAATCTTAATCAATGGATCCGAGTATCTTTCTCGTGCTCTTTGGTTTTGGGACTCTTAAAAGACAAGAATTCCCTTAAAAGCAGACGAATGCCTTTTTTGAAAGCACGCATTGTGTGTATTTCTAGAGGAGCCGTGGGCTTGGGAATTAAGGGCAGGCTTCCCCGTTCGGTGGTTTCCAGTGGGAAATCACTCCGGAAAGGGAGCCCTTCAGTATCGATTTATTGTTTTTGTCTTTGAAATCATTATCTCTTTGACTAAAATACTGTTTGAGAAGTTCCACAGAGACAAAGTCAGGTATACTGAACTGGGCAGATCTATAGCAAGATGGTGATAACGGTGATGCTGTTTTTGGTGTCTGTTTGTGATGGAAGCATTGTTGGGTAATAGCAATTTCTGATCGGTAGAGCATGCTGGTTCTAAAAAAAAAATAAGTAACTGCCGAAATGCTGCCTTCCAGCCCCCCTCCCCACACACTGCAAGCACCCCTTCTCCCCTGACCCACATCGATTACAACAATTCTGAAATCGGATCCAACTGGAAATATTTTCTTTGGAGATCAGAAAGTTGTGCAATTGGAAGTAGGAGATGAGGCTAGAGGTCCTGGAAGTGCTGGGGGGGGGTGTCTTATTGCCCCCCCGATGCTGCGTTTATTCTTTATGTGTTGTCTATGTGGGTTCTGAGGGTGTGTATATCAATCTAAAAGGACTGTTGAGGGAAGGATTTCCGATTTGTTTCCGCTTCAAATAAACTGTCCTGATAATCTCATGGTTGACGTCTAATGCTAAAAGGCCAATTTGTGTGTCTTTTTATCCCTGCAGAAGCTCTCCTCCAAAAGGGCCATTTATCCTGGAATTCTACAGCAGCTACTTTTCCTTCCTCGCCCTCCCCTGCCCCCACCCCCAATCCAAACCTTCCGCTGAAGTTTGGTTGGAGTCCATGGTCTTTAAGGAAATATAATACTACTTCTTTTTCTCTTACATGATTTTTTCATTCTCTTCCTTTACTTTTCTGCTTTTCTGTTTTTCCTGTGGATTTGTACAAAAAAAAAAAAAAAAAAAAACAACAACAAAACTTCATAAAGTAGCTGTCACCAAAACTATCTGGCAGTTCAGCTCTGTCTCTTACCCTCCTTTAGTTTTCACCGGTAAATTGGATTTGCCCCACCTGAACTCATGTTCATCTGCAAACACTTGTGTGTGTGTGTGTGTGTGTGTGTGTGTGTGTGTGAAGAGGTGGGGTCCCAAAGAGGGACCTGGAAAGGAAGGGAGGTGTTCTGTGAAAGCCACATCGTCACCACGGGGGCCAGATCCTGAATGGTCTGGGAGAGTTTGCTTTGCACACCCCAGTTAGATGTTGTCTGGCTGGGATGGGGAGGCGGGGCCAGCTGGCCAGGAGGCGTGTAAGGGAGGAGAAAGTTTGTAGCACTTTAAAATGTAGCCAGTTTACAATCCCAGGTCACTGTCTACCTCTTCTCCTGCTTTCTGTGGCTTCTACCATTCCAAGACTCCCTGAGGGAGGCAGGATCTTTTTTGCTCTGACCTGGGAGCCCCAGGTTTCAGAACCAAGTCGAAGATGCTGTGTTTTCTTCCTCTGTGCTTAATCGAGTTCCCTGCTAGAAGAGTAGCACGTTCAGACGGATCAGAAGGGTGTGATTGAACACAGTATTTGCACATTTCAAAGAATGTAGGCTGAGAAATTAGGAAGATTAGGGACTCTGAAAGTGCTGTTTTGAACACTGCCTCCCCTCCCCCATTAATAAAAAGAATGTCTTAGTCTTGGGAAGTTGACTTGGTGTTAGAGCTGGGCTGTGAGAGCTGCTTGCCACTATAGTAACCTGAGCTGGGCTGGGGGGAGGAGGTGGTGAGCCAAGGCAGTCGGCAGCCAGAGGAGGGAAACCGACTTGTCTCTGTTAGCAGGGAAAATAGATGTGTCACTGGAATAAACAAACTGGAAGTGGGGGAGGGGAAGGCTTGTAGTGAACAGAAGGCAGAGTGGCTGAGAGGCAGCAATGTGGGTTAGAAAGGGGCCACTTCTGGCTTGGGAGAAAATATCAACTGCCTTATATGTTCATGAATGGGCTAGACAAGTGACGGTGTAATCTGATCTTTTGTATGCTAACATCAGAATGTTACATAGGGAGGCACTGTTGGCAGACGCAGTTCTGGGCTTCACACAGGGGAAGTCTGGGGTATCCTTGGGTGAACCAAGGAGACCTTGGTGCCATGATAGCTTCTGGTCCTGGACTTGTATTATTCATGGCAAGCTACTTTGTAAATCATCTGACCTAAAAGACAGTGAAGGGAAAGAGAAAATAGTGCATGGAATCTTTGTAGAATTTAGCTGGAAGTGGTCAGGGGGGTGACGCAGGAGGCAGGAGTTTGCCGAAGAAGAAATAAATAGGTAGGCAGGTCCCCCTGGATTCCCAATTCTGTTTTTGCCTGTTATCTTGACTTTCAATTCCATTAGGGGCCAAATCAATACTTGTCTGGCCCAAAAACGCACCTCCAGAAGAGGAGAGTTCTTTCAACTGGTCATTATTTTTAGTTGTATTTCAGTCTCACTCTGAAGCTTCTTTATTCCATGCAAGAGGAGGAAGATGAGAAGTAGCTAGATGGATGGGACATCCCTTCTGGATTCCCGAGGAGACGCTGAAACTTGGCCAGGCCTCAGCCTCCCAGAATGCCAGTTTTTCCCTTGGAGACTTGAAGTTTTAATTGAAACCAGAAAGCTATTGAAGGCAGACCCAGCCAATGAAACCTTATTTTCTCTGCTGCTCAGGAATGGGAAGTAAATAATTTTTTGCTGATGGCATTTCAAGTTGCTTCAGCTCTGGTCCTCCAAAGAATGGGATAAATCTTTATGAACACATTAGCATTGTCAGGAGTTGCAGCGCCTTAGAAAATGGTATGATGTGGTTGAGTTTGCTGAGGGACCCATTGTGTGGGACAGTTCTGCTGAGGTGGGGTGGGTGTTCAGGAGGCTGCTCTTGTCCTGGAGAGTTGCCCTGAAAACAGGAAGCCTCATAGAGTCCTTGCCACATGTCACTGTGCTTCGTTCTTGGGTTCCTGTGAAGAAGGGAACAGAACAATTGAATCCCATTGCTATGCAGTGGCGTGTTATGAGACTGGGTGAGCTTCCCAAAATGTTTTGGGCCAGCCTTAGGTAAGAAAGACTGTTCGCATACCCATTGCTATCAGTTCGGGCCTCTTTTAGAGCTATTTCTGAGGGCACCCCGGTGTTTCACAAACTCTTCATGACGATGCAGACACTTCAGGAAGCCAAACGCTTGATTGGTGCAGAAAATTAAACACCAGTTGCCCACAGAGTGTACTTCATGAACGTGGGGGAAGTGCCACCCTACCTTCTTGTTTGGTTCTGAGTTTTCATTTCCATTTTCACTTGGCCTTCTATTAGATTCTGAAGCCTCCTTAGATACACCAGGTTGGGGCAATATCAAGTTTTAGGGGAACTGGTAACCTCCGTTAGATGATTGAGTTCAAGAGTGGCCCTAAAGGTTCAGATTGAATCAGCTTCTCTTTCAGAGTTGGTTTTCCCCCCTCAGAGGGTGCCCTCTAAGGTTGAGGAAACATTTTTTTTAATGTCTTTTTGGTTTAGAATCCCACAGCTGACTTCCTGTCCAGTTCAGAGTAATGATGCCGGGGTCAAATGGAGAAGGTGAGCCCTGGCTGAGCTGCTCAGTTGGTTGGGGCATCGTCTTTCACACCGGAAGGTTGCGGGTTGGATCCCGGTCAGGGCACATACCTAGGTTGCAGGTTCGATCCCCTGAAGGGGCATGCATGTACTGGAGGCAACCAATTGAAGTTTCTCTCTCACATTGCTGTCTCTCTCTCTCTCCCAGCCCCCACCCAAAATCAATTAACATATCCTTGGGTGAGGATTAAAAAATACTTTTTAAAAAATGGAGAAGGTAAGCAGGTCTCAAGTTCACAGGGTCACTTGGGAGGAAGGAGCCAGGCCTCCCCAGGGACTGTGGTGGCTTCTGATCAGCAGATCCACGTCAAGTAGTTGTAGGTAAAGCCAGCTGAGCTGACCCCCAGGCACACGGAGGCTCCTGCTTTGCCACGTCCTGGGGAGGGATGGAGAATGAATGGTGAGGAGATAAGAGTTTCAGGACTTTGCCAGCTTAGGAAAATGTTTCCCTGACCCAGCTTATTTTTTCCTCATCCAAATATTCCCTTTCATATGCATGGCAATTTGCCCTTTTCAAAAATATCTTCAGATCCTATTTTCCCCTTGATTCTGCTAGGGAGGGAGGCCGGATATGCATTTCATCCTCATTCAGTTGAAGCAGTTGATAAACTGACT